CAGTAGGGGCGGGGGCGTCTGCGGCGGAGGTGAGCGAGCCTCCGGCTTCGGGCTCCCCAGCCCGGTGCGGCCTCGCCCGCAGCCCTGCGCCCTGAACCCGCGCGACCCAAGCTATGGGCACGCCGGGGCCTGTCACCTCGGCGCTCGAGAGACTTCAGCCTAAGGTTTGGGTCCCGCGCTACCCCCACCTCCCGTCCTCCTTGGACGTCCAGAGCGCACTAGGCCTAACCTCTTCATCGTTCAGTCCACCTCCGCTAGGGCCCCTGGCCCCTACCTTCCCCGCTAGGAGAGTGGCCTGAATAAGGCCGGTTGGCAAGAAGGGACTCTGGTAACTTAACCTCCCGACTCCCACGAACTGGACTGCAGGTCGCGCTCCCACCTTCCCCTGCCAGGGATGAAGGTGGCGAGACTTTGGCTCCGATCTCTTGGAGCTGCCCAGGAGGAGAGTTTGAGGGGGGTCCCCTTACACGCCTGAATCCCTGCACAGATGAGGTCGGGGCGCTGGTCTTTGACATTGGCTCCTTCTCAGTTCGCGCCGGGTACGCTGGAGAGGACTGCCCCAAGGTGAGCCTTACAGCCCCCTGCCCAAATCCTTGGGGCTCCTGACTCCCCTCCAGACTGCCCAGTGACCCAGGACTCTCCCAGCCTAGCCCAGAAGCTCTGCTGAGCGGGAATGTGGGACTGAGGGCCTTGGATTGGACAGGGGCATGAGGGTGATCCTCTCCCTACCCATCCTCCTCCCACCCCCACTTCAGGCTGACTTCCCCACCACGGTGGGGCTGCTGGCCGCAGAGGAGGGAGGCGGGCTGGAGCTGGAGGGGGAGAAAGAGAAGAAAGGGAAGATCTTCCACATCGACACCAATGCCCTGCACGTACCGCGGGATGGAGCGGAGGTCATGTCACCCCTCAAGAATGGCATGAGTAAGAGGCCCCCATCCACTACCTCCTGAAACCTCCTGGAGCCCACTCCCCACCCACGGAGTCTTCCTTGCAGCTGCCCAAGTCTCAGGGGCCTCCTCACTGGTCCCCAAAGCTGACTGGTTCCCAGCCCTGGGGCCTGCCAGATTCCTGGGAAGGGGGACTGTTCTGTTGGAGCTGGACTCACTTGCTTTCTCCTGGACTTGGACTCCCTCCTCCCTTTTCTCCTGTCCCTGCCCTTTGCTTACCCACCTGCATCTCTTTGCTGGTCTTCTGGCCCCAGTTGAGGACTGGGAGTGCTTCCGAGCCATCCTGGATCACACCTACAGCAAACATGTCAAGTCTGAGCCAAATCTACACCCAGTGCTCATGTCAGAGGCCCCGGTAAGTGCCTCTTCCAGTCCCATGCCCAGTCCTGGGGCCCCGGCACATCCTTTCCACCATTCATTTCTAACCTCAAGTCTGCTGTCTGTCCCTTCATCTCCCTTTTCAGGCTTTCCTTCCAACTCTGTCATCTTCAACCACTTTTCTTCCTCCCTGGCTTAGTCACCACCCCGTGCTCTCACTTCTTGCTATATCTATTCTACTACCTTGCCCTCCCCTCTCCGAGTCCTTTTTATTTTTTTAAGAATTGTTTTATTTAACCTTATGTATTTATTTTTAATTTTGACAAGAGAGGGGCAGAGTGAGAGAGAGAGAAAGGGAGAGGAGAGAGAGAAAGTGAGAAAGCAAGCTACCAGGTATGAAACTCAAACTGTAGTCGGCCATGTGGGAGTCCAGTGCCCTTAACCACCATGTCATCCGCTTGCCCCTCCCCTAAGTCCTTTTTTTTCCTACTAACCAACTGAATTTTATTTGTTGCATAATAAGCCACATAAAATCTTTTAGGTAAAAAAATACTAAATTTGAATAAAGATATCACAAAATGAATTAGAGCCCAATTAAAATTAGCTTTGGGGAGGGAACATAATTTTACTCAATTAAGGCAAACATTTTTATAGACCATAGATTAGTCTATTTTTAACACCCATGATGCCATGAATTCATAGAGAATAGGTTCCAGAAGCTCAGGCTCCTTTCCATTGGTTCTCACAAAGTGTTCGTCTCTAGGTGGAGCAGGCTGGTGTTTCAGTTGAACCCAGGTACCTTTCTCTTTGGCTTTCTTCTTTTCCTGGTCATTTTCCTTCACACGTTTTAGGAAGCTATCTCTGCTCTTAGAATGCTTAATATGCTCAATATGCACATTGATTCTCTTGGCAAGAATCTTGTCCCTAACGTGTTTGTTTACAATCTTGCCCTAAACTTGTTTGTTTACACCAATGTTGTTTTTTATAGCATGTTGGTTAACATTGTAGACTCTTCCAGTTTGCCATGGTAACATTTGTGGGACATTGCTTTTTGAACAGTTCCCATTCCTTTGATATCTACAATATCATCTTTCTTGTAGATTCGCATATATGTCGCCAAAGGTACCACTCCATGTTTTCTTTTTTTAATTTACCTTTATTTATCTATTATTTGAATTTATCAGAGAAGGACAGAGTGAGAGAGAGAAAGTGAGAAAGCAAGCCTCTAGGTCTGGGACTTGAGCAGCAGTTGACCATGTGGGAGTCCAGTGCCCTTAATCACCATGCCCCCTGCCGGCCCCCCCTCCATGTTTTCTTTCTTTTTTTTTTTTTTGAGAGGTTTTTTCGCTATAGGGCACGTGCACTCGCCAGACAGACAGAGAGAGACATAGAGACAGAAAGCAAGAAATCACCCCCCAGGGGTGATGGTCACGCCACAATCCCTTCTCCTCCATTCTCCTCTCCGGATCTGGGGCACGCACGCACACGCGCCCGGCGTGATTTTTAAGCCGCCGGGTCCGAGATGTGAACCACAGTCGACTACGTGGGAGTCCAGCGACATAGCCATTACGCTAACTGCTGGTCCCCCCAAGTCCTTTTTAGACCTTTTAACTTAACATTATTGGTCAAGGTTATATATTCATAAAGAATCAATTTACTTCATAAAGTACGTTAAGAAAACTGCAGGCCCAGCCGCAGTGGTACGTGTTGTTAAGATGTTGTGATCTGAAGGCTGGGACCACCTGGGAGGCCTCATTTTGATTCCACTGCAGCATAAAGGCCTGATGTGATGATGGAAAGGCTGAGGCAAGAGGATTGTGAAATGGCCAGACCCTGTCTTAAAGAAATAATAATAATAATAAACAAACATTGCAGTTATTACCCTTCTCTTTCCATTTTCCCTTTTCCAGAGGCAACTGCTTTTCCCCCTTTTAGCCAATTTTAAAGGTGTTTCCTTCCATATCTCTAAATATCATGGTTATATGACTGCTTGTGGGATTTTTAGTTTAAGACACCATTTGTAAAATATCACTATAGAAAATGAGCCTTTAGCTTTCTTTTTTTCTTTTTCCATTTATTTTATTTTGAGATTTTTTGCTATAGGGCACATGTGCTTGCCAGAGAGAGAAAGAGACATCACCCCTGCTGGGGGATGGCCACCACAGTCCTTTCTCCTCCACTCTCCTTTTGGAATCTTGGGCATGCATATACGTGCACCTGGCATGAGTTTTAAGCCACCAGATCTGGGACTCGAACTGTGGTCGACTATGTGGGAGTCCAGCAACATAATCATATAACCATAATCTCCTGGTCCCTTTAGCTCTCTTTTCTCCCCAGCATATACAACATGTATTTCTCATTTTCCACCTTTAAGTAGAATTATATTTTAGATTTTAAAAGACTGGTATGCAGCATCTACACTTATGCTACTGTGTATGCTAAGCAGGGTGGCCGATCCAGGCGATAAACTACGATTACTTTTCCTTTTCTGTGCACATTTTCATTCTTCCTAGAACTAAAAATCATCTTGGTTTTTATTGTACTATTTCCTGTCTACTTAATAATATGACCCTAAGTTATTCATCAGTTATCTATATCTTTTCTCAAGACATTCCATTATCCTACCAGTTCATCTTCCTGAAAAACAAACTCTCCAGGACCCCGCTGACTGTTCCACTTTGGACTAGTAACCCTCCACATCAGGGACACATCCTGACATCTTCCTTCACCATCATCTTGGAGAATCTCTTTGCCTCTCTCCTGTGGTAGAGTTCCTCTTCCCTAAATTTGCTTCCTTTTCTTGACTTATTTCTTTATTTTCATGGAGATCTTCCAATACTGCCTTAGAAAGGTCACAGGAAGTGAATTTTTTGAGCTTAGCTAGGTATCTCGCTCCAGGTTGGAAAGATGGTTATCTTTCTTCAGAATATTTATCTTTTTTCTTTCTTTCTTTCTTTTTTGTTGAGATTTTTGCTGTAGGGTGCATGCGCTCACTGGAAAGACAGAGAGATAGAAAGTGAGAAGTCACCCCCCAGGGGGGATGACCATTGACCATGCCACAATCCCTCCTCCTCCATTCTCCTCTCGGGATCTTGGGCGCGCACACACACACACACGCACACACACACAGAGCGTGAGTTTAACTGCCAGGTCCGGGACTCGAACCATGATTGACTATGTAGGAGTCTGGCAATGTAACCATTACGCCATCTGCTGGTCCCTCTTCAGAATATTTCTCTTTTTTAAAAAAAGTTTATTTCTCTCATGAGCGACAAAGAGAAAGAATGAGAAAGGCACCTCCCCCCCCCAAGGTCCACATACTGCAATCCAGCCAGGATCACAGGTGTATGGGTAACTAGTGTGCACAGGGATGTGAAGAAAGACCTCCCATGCAGCCTCAGCATCGCAGAGCATCAACTCATTGCACTGCCATGTGTCTGCTTCAGAATCTGGAAGGCACTTCTCCATTTTCTTCCAACATATTTTGTTGCCATCAAGAAGACTGAACCATCTAATTCCTGATCCTCTGATAAGATTTTCTTTCAGAAATTTTAGTTTTCACATCATCCTCAATGTTCTACGATCCCACAGTGCTAGGTATTAATATTGGTTTATTTTCATTTGCCATTCTATGTATTTAGTATATTTCTTTAGGGCTGGCCCCATGGATCCCACATAGCCAACTGCTATTCAAATCTTGGCCCCAGAGACTTTAAAAAACATGCCATGTGCATGTGTGTACATGTCTAAAATCCCAGCAAGATAGAGAAATGAAGAATGAATTGCATCATGACCATATCCCATTGAGAGGTGTTTTCTCCCTCTCTCTGTCTCTCTTTCTCTCTCACACACACATACACCATTTAGCAATTATTTTAAAAAAGAAAAGCAAAAAGGTATGTCTCTTCAATATGTAAACCTACATCTGTCTGTCTGTCTGTTTTTTAATTTATTTTTAAAAAGAGATTTTTGCCATAGGGCATGTGTGCTCACCGAGAGAGACACAGAGATGGATAGTAAAAAAAATCACCCTCCAGGGGGGATGGCCATGCTGCAGTTCCTTCTCCATTCTCCTCCTGGGATTTTGGGCACACACACACACACACACACACACACGTGCCTGGCATGAGTTTTAAACCAATGGGTCCGGGACTCAAACCATGGTCAACTATGTGGGAGTCCAGCAACATAACCATTATGCCATTTGCTGGTCCCCCTATGTCTTTCAATTATTTTTGTAATTATTTGAATATTTGTTTCTCTGAATTTTCTCTGTTCTCTGTTTTAAGAAATCCTGTTATTTGAATTTTGAGCTCTGAACTGGTCTCATTTCTTAGCTTTTCTGTTATATTTTCCATCTCTTTATACTTTCCCCCTCAAGCTTATATTCCAACCCTTCTATTGAATTTTTCATTTCTTCTTCTTTTTAAAAATTTCTTTCTTTCTTCCATGAGCAAGAGACAGAAAGAGAGAGAGAAAGGTACTCTTGACATGGTCTTCACACCAAGACCCATCCAGCTTCAGCCAGTCTGGGATCATGGGCATGTGTATACCTGGCATGCTCAGGGAGGTCTCCAGATACGAACCTGGAATCTCCATGTAGTCCAACCACACAGAGTGTTGTATTAGCACTCTATCACCCTCTAACCCTCTTTTCCTGTATTTTCATTTTCTAAAAGCTCTATTTTAGTTCTATGAATGTTTCCTTTTGAGCATCCTATTCTTTCATGGGTGCAATATTACCTGCAATCTTATAGATATTACTAGTTTTGTTTTGGAAGTCTCCATCTCCCTGTATAATCTCTGTTCTTCCAAGTTGCTTTATTTGTGCCTTTTTTTGTTTGGTTTTGGAGAGGTTTTTGCTATAGGGCAAATGCGTTCGCCAGAAAGACAGAGACAGATAGAAAAGGAGAAGTCATCCCTCAGTGGAGGTGGCCATGCCACAATCCCTTCTCCATTTCTCCTCTCAGGATCTTGGGCACACACACACATGCGCCCGGCGTGAGTTTAAGCCACTAGGTCCAGGACATGAACCACAGTCGACTACATGGGAGTCCAGCGACATAGCCATTACGCCATCCGCTGGTCCCTATTTGTGCCATTTTGAGGGATCTCAGTTTAGAGGCTTTTTTTCAGATTTCTGCAAATCCTTGGTTGTCTCCTTATGTTTCTGAGTGAGGAACTAAAAAACTGATTGGAGGGACCAGCAGGTGGCATGGTGGTTAAGGCACTGGACACTCCCACATGGCTGACAACAGTTTGAGACCTGGACCTGACAGCTTGCTTTCTTACTTTTTCTCTCTCTCTCCCTCTCTTTGTGTTTCTCTCTGATCAAGTTAAAATAAATAAATGAGGGGCTGGCAGGTGGTGTGGTGGTTAAGGGCGCTGGACTGTGGCCAACCACAGTTCAAATCCTGGGCTGGGTGGCTTCCTTTCTCACTTCCTCTCTCTCTCTCTGTCTGATCAAACTGGAAAATAATAATAATAATAATAATAATAAAGTTAAATAAAATAATTATTTTAAAATAAAATGAATGAATAAATAAAGTTAAATAAAAATAATTATTTTTTAAAACGCTGATTGCAAGTTCTGTGGTGGGGGGTGCTTGTTAACTTTAATCTTTACTATCGGATGATCATAGTAACCCCACAGACTTCTACCCTGAAGACAGAAGTGGCCATCCCTGGAGTTAAGTGAGGGAATAGGGCTGGCATTCTCAGCATTCAAAATTCATGGCATCACTTCATTCCCATTTTGGGTGTAATGCCCTCACCCCCAACTATGTTAAGTGTCCCTTGTGGAGACGCTCAGTTTTCCTCTCTTTAGAGAATAGATTTCTAGTCTTCTGGGATTGGGATGGGCAGTAGCCCAGTGACATGGAATTGGGAAAAGAATTTAGTGATCTGTTATTTAAATAACTTTAAACAACCTTATTTTAGCTGTTCTTTCACTTCCACTTGCAGGGGTACCTGAAACTATCAATTCCTGAGCCATTTTAGGATTTCCTAGTTTGATATGGACTGTTCCCAGCTTTTTTCAATATTGGCTTAGGGTTTAGCATTCTTAAATCTGTTGTTATTTACCATTCACCTATTTGATTTTCAACCTTTACAATTTTGTGACTGTTTTCTCCTTATTATTCCTAACCTAAGGGTTTCTCTTTAGGTAAAAATCATTTGTCACACAAAATTGACTTTTTTGTTCTTTTTTTTTTTTTTTTTTTTTTGCCATGGAGCATGTCATTCACTGGAAAGAGGATAAGTGAAAAATCATCCCCTCGTGAGGGATGGCCATGCCACAGTCCTTTCTCCTTCATTCTCCTCTTGGGATTCTGGGCACGGACACACTGGTCCAGGGCTCAAACAGTGGTGTACCATGCGGGAGTCCAGTGCCTTAACCACCACACCACCTACTGGTTCCATTAACCTTTAAAAAAAAAAAAAAGAAATTAAGTTTATTTATTTATTTCTTCCACAAATGAGAGAGAGGTGCCCCTGACAAAGTCTTGATGATGAAGTCTACCCCCAGGCTTAGCCAGCTCCAGATCATGAGCACGTGAGCACCCAGCACCTTCAAGATCTCTGGACATGAATCAGAACCTTCCCATGCAGGTCAGCTTTGCAAAGCATTGCATCACCATCCAGCCCTCATATTAGTTAATAATTCTGTGGTATTTAATATAATACATTCCCGGGGCTGGCAGGTAGCATGCTGATTAAGGGCGCTGGACTCCCACATGGCCAACTGTGGTTCAAGTCCCAGACCTGGCAGCTTGCTTTCTTACTTTTTCTCTCTCTCTCACTCTGTCCCTCTCTGGTCAAATTAACATAACTAAATAACTAGATAAAGTAAAACAATCCTTTAAAACAAACAAAATATATATAATACATTCCCAATGTTGTGCACCATCACTACTCTCCAGTACTTTCATCACCCCAGAATAAAACATATTCTCAACTCTCCACTCCTCTCCATTTTCAGCTCTGGGCAACTGTCAACCTGCTTTCTGTCTGTGTAACTATATACATATATATACATATATATATGTATATATTCTGGATTTTTCATATAAATCAAATCATATGCTACGTGACTTTTGGTGTCTGCTGTTTGCATTCTTTTGCAAACATGTCATTAAGGTTAATCCATGGTGTTATGTTTATCAGTCCTTCCTTTCTTTTTTTTTTGGAAAGGTTTTTGCTATAGGGTGTGCGTGCTCGCCAGAAAGACAGAGAGAGACAGAGAAACAGAAAGTAAGAAATCACCCCCCCAGGGGGGATGGCCACACTGCAATCCCTTCTCCTCCATTCTCCTCTCGGGATCTTGGGCACGCACACACACACACACACACCCGGCGTGAGTTTAAGCCACCAGGTCTGGGACTCAAACCGCGGTCGACTACATGGGAGTCCAGCGACATAGCCATTACGCAACTGCTGGTCCCAGTCCTTCCTTTCTTATGGCTGACCAATATTCTACTGTCCAGGTATACCACAGTTACTCACTCATCCATCTATGGGCAATTTGTATTATTCCTACCTTTTGGCTCTTGTGGAAAGTGGTATTATAGTAAAGGGCACTAAGCAGGTCAAAGGACTATGACTCTAGAGCCAGTTCTCTCAAGGGACTTTTGTGTGATCTTGGGCAAGTCATTATAAATATTTGTATACAGAAATTTGTTTGAGTGTGTTTTTCATTCTTTAGGATATATAACTAGGAGTGGAACTGCTAGGTTACACAAGGAGACCTTGGGATATGTTTACTTAAGGAACCACCAACTGTTTTCCACAGTGGCCTGAACTATTCAACATTCCCACCACCCATGGATAAAGGTTCCAGTTTCTTCACATCTTTACCAACCAGGATATTTTGTTTTTCTGGGATTTTTTGGTTTGAGTTATAATTACCTCTCTTGCGGGTGAGCAGTATCTTGTTATGTATTTCAGTTGCATTTCCCTAATGGCTAACAACTAGAGCATCTTTTCATATGTCTGTTGGGTTTTGTGGATTTGTGTTTTACAAATTGCCTCTTGAGGCCAACAGGTGGCATAGTGGTTAAGGCGTTGGACTCCCACATAGTCAACCATGATTCAAGTCCCAGACTTGGTAGCTTGAAAATTATGCTGCGTGCATGTGTGTGCATGCCCAAAATCCCAGGAGGAGAATAGAGAAGGGATTGTGATGTGGTCACCTCCCCCCCCCCCCCCGGAAGGGATTTCTCACTTTCCCTTTCACTGTCTGTCTCTCTTTTCACTGCCCGGGGAGTGCATATGCCCTATGGCAAAAAAATTTTTTTAAAAAAATTGCCTCTTGGGACCAGCAGATGGCATAATGGTTACATCATTGGACTCCTACATAGTCTACTGCAGTCCAAGTCCTGGACCCAGCAGCTTAAAATTCATGCCACGTGTGTGTGCATCTGTGCCCAGGGTTCTAAAAGAAGAATGGAGGAGAAAGGTTTGCGGTGTGGCCATTCCCCCTGGGGGTGACTTGTGCTTTCAGTCTCTCTGGTGAACATATATACCCTATAGCACAAATCTCTCTCTCTCTCAAAAAAAAAAAAAAAAAGCCTCTTTATTTCACTTGTGCTGGGGGTCTTGGGAGGGAATAAAATTAGATATTTGTATGAAATCCATCATTACTACCCAGAAATCCTCTTCCTCAGCTTTTGTGCACCTGAGATCACTGGAATGGGGAAGGGATATACTAGGGTGTGTGTCCTATGGTAAAGAGCACTAGGCACTAGGTAGACATTAAAGGTCTAGACTGTAGGCCTCACTCTGTCAGGAGCCTTCTGTGTGATCTTGGGCACATCCCTCTTTGTTTTCTTCATTTAGATTTGGACTGTGATCTTTAAAATTCTTTTTAGTTTTCACATTCTAAAGGTTTATGTGGGTCAGGGGGTCCTGATTTCTCTCCCCTAGTCCAAGTTATATATGCGTGTGTGTGTGTGTGTGTGTGCGCGTGCAAATGAATATGAATGTATGTGTGTGAGTGTATGTGAATGTTTGTGTATGAGTGTATATGAACATATGTGTATGAGTCTGTGTGTGTGAATGTGTGTGTGCTTGTATATGAATGTATAAGTGTGTGTGAGTGTATATGAATATGAGTGTGAGTCTTTGTGTATGAATGTGTGAATGTATGCGTGCATGTGTATGAATGTTTAAGTGTGCATGAGTGTGTATGAGTCTTTGTGTGTGCATAGAATGAGTGTGTATGAGTGTGTGTGCATGAATGTATGAGTGTGTATGTGTATATGAATGTATGTGTATGAGTCTGTGTGAGTGTATGTGTTCATCCATATAAATGTGTAACTGTCTATGGTATGAGTGTATATGACTGTATGTGTGAGTGTGTGCACCTATACGCACATGGATCTATGCCTCTTCCTTTCTGAATCCAACCTTCCTGCATTTCCTCTCCAGTGGAACACCCGGGCCAAGCGGGAGAAGCTGACAGAGCTGATGTTCGAGCAGTACAACATTCCTGCCTTCTTCTTATGCAAGACAGCTGTGCTCACTGCGTATCCTCTGAGTGCTCTGCCTGGGTGGAGAGCCAGGGTGGGGTTTATGGTGCACTGAGCCAGGGGCTGGGCCTGATCCTCTGGAGATCATATCTCCCGGATGGGCAGATATGAGTGCACAGGGCCCAGTGAGCTGAGTGCCTTGGACCGAGGGGTGGTCAGATCAGCAGCTCTCTCCCATTCCTTGGATCATGCTGAGCAGAGAGAGAGTTGGGCCATGTAGACAGCAAGACCTGGTGCTAGACAGAGGAGGGGAGGGTGTATGATGCTGGGGCACTTCCTTCCCAAATAGCCAATCCATTTTGAATTTTTTTCAAGATTTGTGTTGCATTGAACCCTGTACTAAGCACTGGGGCAATAAAGTCTCTAATTCCAGGGAGTTTATAGAACACAAAACTAAGAACAAGAGAGGTTGAGAGTTCAGAAGAAACAGAGGAAGAAGTGAATTTGATAAAAAAGTGACTGGGGGAAACCAGCAGTTAGCGTAATGGCTATGTCGCTGGACTCCCACACAGTCGACCGCGGTTCGTGTCCCGGACCCGGTGGCTTAAAACACACGCCGGGCGCGTGTGCATGCGTGCCCAAGATCCCAAGAGGAGAATGGAGGAGAAGGGATTGCGGCGT